TCTGACTAATTTTCAATCCCATTTTTGTCTGTTTTGCCCCCAGATGGGTGCCCCTGAATCTACAGAGATGATCCTGGGCCATACTGACACAATTCCACCATTTCCTGGTCCAAACAGACCCCTCTTTTCGAAACAATCTCTGCGGGTACTTTTTCTGCGCCTCCTCCTGGCGGAGAATTTTCCTTGAATTGGGACACTGCACCCAGATGGATTTCACAGTAACGCCGTCTGCGCATATCCACATCGAAACCGAGGCTCTCTGTGTTGAAATTGGTCGCGCACGCACGCGGAGTCGACACAGTACATGCAGTATGCGGTTCGAAAGTGTGACATCACTTCAGTTTAAACCACGCCCACTGCACGAGATACAAGGCCATCGCAGGTACGTTAGTTCGCGGTAAATTGCCATTGTTTTTTTCTTTTGATTTTACGTGTCGAGTCATTCTGAAAGAATCTTCCACAAAAATTTGCAGCCTAAAAAGTCTGAATTTAACATATCTTTATGTATTTTGTGTCTTAACTCCTTACTTTCAATTGTCTGATCCTATTAAGAATTGAAGCCGACCATACCATACAGCCTCGTTTTCAAACGCGGAAGTGCGCAGACAGACTAAAAACGTCGTATTGGGTACTGGGTGCACCACAGCAAGTAAATTCCCATAGACAGCATTGATAAAACCCCGTATTTCACAAATATTTAATAAACAATACTCACAACTCTCACAGTTTTATTCAGGCTGCATAGAAAAACGATGTTTCATTTTCCTTCCAATTTTTAGTGGGTTGACCGATCAATATTTGAGAAATTCTCACCCAAAGCAGACCATCGTGACCCCTAAATTGAAGGAAATTCACTGCCCGGGGCCGGGGAGGTATACTCGTAGCCATTTAGAAAATGCGTCTCTCTGCAAAATGGCTCAAATAATGCTACTTTCGGACCCGATTGCATCCAAAGTGGCCAGAATTGGAAGCCCTGAGTCCGGCTCAGAGGTTCAGTGTCATATTTCTTCAATTCTCCAGGTCTTTGGCTGTCAGGACCCTCTAATATAAAATATTGTGAGTATATAACTTTTATTAATGAGCTCGGCGGACAAATATATTTCTGGCCTAAATACGTGCGTGCACCCTCCGGTCACGCGTCGGAGCCATTAGGGCGATGCACTTCGACAGGTTTTCCCCCATTTTATTTAACATACGCCATGTACATTGTACGTATACGCATAAGTAGACTTCAGTTGCTCAATTTATGGTAAGGAAGTTGACTAATCTGAGGCCTCTTTTGGCTGAGTTTTGGCTTGAATTGGCATTTTTTGCAGTGCTGCTACAAACCATGTGAACATGTGAAAATTCCGCTTTGAAAATGGTCGTTGTCAGTTTGTGGCACCCGACTCGCATGACTCGGAGTCGGAAGTAGGTCTACACCATGAAAAGCATAACTTGGATTGTTTGAACCATGGAGGCACCTCCATGTTTGAACATGAACATTTTGGGAAATACAAGGCAGTGGTACATGGCAAATGTCGTCATTGCATCAAAAGTGTGAAATTTGCCCAAATAGTTTCAATTGAGAGTAGGCCTAGTCGGAATTATACCCAGAGCAGCGTAAACGTTCGTTATGCGAATATGCTGCACCTGTTTTTGGGAGCTACACGTATATATGCAATCACATGTATGAAGCCAAAGCACGGTTCACAACCATGCACAATGCATGACATCTAGATGCTCAACCAACCGTAAAAACTTCACGTGTGAAATAAGGCTCCTATAACATTCTGGCTTTATTTTCCTTTAAAAAAAACACCTCCCTGCCCACAATTCCGACCTGTGATTCGAACCCACACCCCATGCATCACAAACCATTATGCCGTAACCGCTTGACTACCGCAATTCATACAGGTTGATGGTGTTTTTACTGTTGATATACCGATGAACGGCTGCACCGCAAGTCTAATACACATTGGGCATGTGCAATACAAACACAACCACCATGGTTTGGCTTCATACGTCTGGTTGCATATATATATCTTTTTTGTCACGTGACTAGATAATTCAGATGTTTGCGGCCTCATGGAGGGATGAGAGGTAAAGATGGTAGAAAAACCTATTTTTTTTGCCAGTGATACAAATGTATGTAGGTTAAACTCAACAAAATACAATTATTCCCGCCATTTCCATATTTTTTTATATGATATAGATTAGCTATAATTATTAGGGGGTTTTGAGGGAAGTATTAAAGGAAATTTCATCTGGTACTCCAAATGGGCAGCTTTCAAAATACCACAGCGTGCGGAACCATCAAAAAGAGGGAAAGCAATAAATTCTAGACCATAGAGTAGTACGTTGCTGTCCAGGATGTGATACAACTATACACAAGGTTATTATTATCGATCCAGTTAATTGCTATTCTGTGATCAATTATGGTTGCTTAAATTTAATTGGATAAACAAATTGCTGTTGTTGATTCATGTTGTTTATTTATGACTGTTTATTCTGTACATTTGTGTACTTTCTGTGGACAGATTAAACCGTGTTCACCAGTTCACATACTCATGTCAGGTTAAGCTTGTATGTACGTCCGTCGCTCCGTCACACATTGGGGTCAAGGGATGACTTGCCCAAGATCGCAACATGCTGGAAAATTGTTTTCTTCTTCTGACTCCTTCCAGCAAATTCCTTTGTCATGGGGGAATTCCCTGTTTGATTTCACAATACCCAACACTGTGATGAACTCATGGACAGAATGACCTACGAGGTGTCGATTTCATTTGGGGTCAGATCTATGAGGCGTTGGACTGATGCATTGACTCCATACATTGAGCTGGATTGAATTTCTTAATTTCTGTGTTTTGGTAGAAGTTGCAACATGGACGATAGTGACTTGTCCTGGCAGCATCCATCAATCAGCAAAACGGAGGAACCAAAATGAAGAGGATTCGGAAATGGTTGGGCCGGTATGTATCAGTTTTTGAAATTTGGTGGCTATACCCCCTTTGGTCCATCAGGGAGTGCTGTGAATGGATGTGATCTTCTCAGAATCAAGTATTCAAGGGCCAAATTGGTCTAAAAGCAAAGTTCTGCACAGACGGACTTGAATCACTGTGACTCCAAAGGACCAAATCCACAATTTTTTAAAGATTTATTAAGCGGTGGTTGAAAGAGTTAATTACTCATGCTAAAAAGTAGGTACTGATGCTGACAATTTAGTTCCTAGGAAGTTCACTTTAGGTGATTGAAATTTGTAATGGATATTTCAGGGAATTGGTCCCCACTGGGAGAGGAAATAGGAGGAACCAACAAGAAACCATGACACCAAATGAGCCAGAGACACAGGAACAGATTGCTGACAGAGAATGTCAAGAGACAGAAGAACAGACAGGTGGGGAACAAACATTGGCTGTGAGGAGACC